CGGCTGCCCACGCGCGGCGCACGGCCCCGCGGGTGACAAAGAGGAGCCACCCTCCGCCCAAGTTAGGTTCTGGCCCTCTCGCCTGCCTTTGTGGAGCCCAAAGTTGCCTTTTATTATTATTTTTTAAGTAAAAGGGACCCAGATTTTTTGCGGTCAGCATTTCAGACCAACAACTTCTCATGGTGGTTTTACGATTTAAGTTCCGGAAACTTTGGCTGTGTGATCGGAGCAGCCCCTTGAGCGAGAGCGAGGGGGCAGAGACTGGGTGGGGGTGTGGGTTTGGCTCATGGCAGCTGGAGCCCAGCGGCCGTTTCGGGGTCCCCCACGGAGGATAGGGAAGGCTCACAAAGAGTCGACCCCGTGTGGGACCAGCCCCTTGCTGCTCATCTGGAACAGTTTAGCGGGCTCGCGCTCCCTGCCCCTCCCCCCTCCCCCGTGCCGAGGTGGCCTCTGCTGGTTTCCTTTCATTCTGCTCGTTGATGCCTTGTTTCAGTTTTGACTCGCCCCGTTTCCAGCTCCCCACCCCAGGTGTTGGCATTCGTGGGCCTCCCTCCCCGCCGCCCCCCTCCGCGGCGTCGTTTCCTGGGGGACCCCACGGGCCAGCACTGGCCGAAGTGTGGTGTGCACTTGGCGGCTGGACCGGCCAGGTGTATTCCAGGACATCTTCAGCATTGTCTTGTCTTGTGTATGGTCTGAAGAGGAGAGAAAGGGGGTCGGTCCTTCTTGGGCTCCGAGCTTTGGGGAATTGTAAAATGTCCTCATTGCTGGATCAGGTGTGACCTTCACAGGTCTCTTCTTTTCGGCTTTCTCCCCTTTTCCTTCTGTGGGGCTGTCTGCTCTCAGCCTGTCCCTGGACTTAGTCTTCTGGGTGTGACAGTTGTGACCGCTGTTCTTGCCGGGTGTAGTCCACATGTCTCACTTGATATTCCTGAAGCATCGTTCTGCAGCAAGGCACCAATATTGGACCTCCTCCAAGCACAACCAAACGTTTGTGTTTTTAGACTGTCTGGCTAATAGGTCTACTTCTGGGTAAAATAAATAGAAACATTATTGGATAATGGCTGGCTTTCTGAGTGAGCTTGCAAGATGGTAAGTTGATGCCCCCAGCCCAGTGCTTTCCAGAATCTCTTTTTGTTTTGTTTTTAATGTGGATGGAAAACTTAAAAAACTCACTGGTAGAGTAGCAGAGCTCCGGCCAGGCCAGATTCTAGAGTCGGTGCTGTGCTGTGCTTTATGGCGGTTCAGGCAGGAGTTCTGTTCCCCAGGAATCCTGCAGGTAGGGTTATAATGGCCCTTTCCAGGTTGATACTCTCTGCCTGGAGTTTCCACAGGGACTTAGTTCCTCATATCATAGTAGAAGGATAATGCTGCTCTACTGAATTAACTAAACAGGAAAATCCAGACAATTTTCTTCTGGTTTATGGCAGTTTTCCATAATAATATGAGATGACAAGGAACCTGAGTGAGTGTTTTTATTTTGCCTTTCATTAAAGAATGACCAAGGAACTCTGTTTTAAAAAGATGGGAAATACAGCATTGAAAGGGTTAGTTGTTGTTTTTTTTTTTCCCCCTAGCTGGAATTCAACCTCTGATATTCTTTGAGAGTAGAAGAGCCTAATTCATTTGGAAAATAAATATTTATGAGGAGGGTACTTGTGATAAACATCAAAAAAGAAAACCTTTTTCCATGCCAGAGAAGGTAGAGAACACTCTGGAAAAGACAAGAGCCTTGTTTTTGCTGCTGACCACGCTGGAGGCAGAATGGTGGTATCCCTGGGGGGCGGCGGGGAAAGGGGGGCTTTGTGGATTGGAAGGTACTTGGCTCCTGCTTTGATTGCCTGGTGTTTTCCACAAACCCTTTAAAAAACTGACCTTGGCTTATTGCAGAGAACTGCCTAGTATTTTTGAGAAACATGCTTTCCTCTCTGGTTGAAGGAAAAAACTATAGGGGAGAGTGGCCCCAAACCCAAATACAGTTGCTCAAGGCCTTTCTTCTTTGGTTGCCCCAAGGCATTCTGGGTGTTGGGTGCCTTATGGCTGGAGGAGCTGGTGTGGGCTTTCCAGTTCCTATGCGGGACTCACTCCTCTCCCATTGAATGGGGAGCATGGATCAGCCCCTTTTTCTTGCCTTTTAGGGGCCAGAGTCCCTGCTGTGTCCTTTGCTTCCTCTGGTCACTGCTAACCATTTCCACGTGTCGGGGAAGATCAGAGCCCAGTGGTTTCCACTCAGGGTACCTGAAATACTACTTTTGTTTTTAATCAAGAAGTCCCCTGGAAATGTTTATTGTGAAGTGCAGAGACTGACTTTTTTTTTCTTCCTTTTCATAGTTTGCCCTTTCAGTACTTGCCAAGATGATACTTAGGGCAAAAGTGGGCAATTGATACATATTAAATATGATGCCCTGAGCTTTTGATACTTGTGAATAACCTAGGGACCTCAGGTAGGAAGTGGTTAAAAGTGAGTTGTGCTCAGTGCTGTTATCAACTCAGTGCCCTTTTCTTATTTGAATTGGGAGGGAAATTATAGATGACCCACAAGATTGGCAATTAATGTAGGAATTCATCATTTACATTGAGTTAATTTCAAATGTAAAAATGTCTTATTTGTGCATACATTATCAAGGAAAAGAGCCAGAGGCCAAAGTAGATTGCCTGTAGTTCTTCAGTACTCTTTCTAGAAGAGCGTTTTTTTTTTTTTTTTTTGCACTTTTGTTTTCATCTTGTTTATTCAAGATCTAGCATCCTCTCTAGCTTATAATAAACCCCGGACAAATACTTGTTGAGTGAATAAGTAAACTTAGTCTTTCATGTCTTTTCAAGTTAGTCTTTGTTTGTAGGGAAAAAAAAACGAATATTAGTTCTGAAAGATTACTGTTCAGGGAACTTGAAATCTTGATGTTTAATTTTGTTTACATTTTTCTTCCATTAAGCAGTTTCACTCTTCTAATTGGGTAATATTGTAAAAAGATACGGTTGTATCTCAAAACTCAGTGAAAGTATAAGGGAGAAAGTAAAACTAACCTGAAAAACAAGCACCTGCATAATTTCCCTTCTGAGATGCAGCTCTTAGAAGTCCCCCAGTGTGCCTTGGTCGGCTGGCAGCTCACTTTTTGGGCCTTTAACTATCTTTGTTCTTCAGTAATAAATTACCTGGGGCTGCAGCTGCGGATTGTCTCCCTGTGTTTGTTAACTTCTGGTCCTGTTGTTGCTGCACCGTGAGCTCTCAGGCTAGTTAGTGTTGTAAAGAGCATGCCTCTTCCCTCCAGAGGTTTGCAAGCCGTTGGTGTTCCATATTTTCACTGTGTTTAGGGTCCACTTCTTTCTCCTGTATTCCTCTGCCCTTTCCCGCTGTCTCCCCACTTCTCCCTCCATGCAGCCTGTTCCTTGGTGTTGCCGGGAGCCTGTGGGAGCCTGTCGGGGTCTGGGTCTGCTGCAGTTTGTTCAGCCACTCACCTTTGGCCCCTCTGCTTAGCTCTAGTTCCGGCCAAGTGAATCCAGCAGCGAGGAACCT